TAACGTCCCCAACAAACCGCACCCCTCCCTAACCCCTCGATACCTCCCCCTTAACTCCCCTCCCTCGTCAGAAGTTTCTCAGCGGATTTGGACCGTACTCAGCAGCGCAGTACAGCCCCAACTCAAATTTAAACCACCAGTACTTCCTAGAGTCGCGCCCGTTAACGCGCCACGATTTTAGGAAACGTACGGACTACTACAGGAGCGCACAAATTCATCCGACTAGAAACGTTTCTACTCTATTTTTTCCCGCGGCCTATAGCTGGGCCAAGTACTGGTGGTTTAAAAAGAAACCAGCGGATGGCCCGCTTGTGGCCAGTCAGCAGATTGCCTGCCACTGACCCTGTCGGTAGACTGCAGAACGGTTGGCCGTCGGCATCAGCCGTAGGCTGCAAAACTACCTGTTTTGGGATGAAAAAAATAAAAATAAAAGTTTGGGAGAGTAGTGTTGCCACCTATCTGTCAAGACTGATGTCCCAGAGACCTATTTGAGGCTATTTCTGATGCTCAATGGGACAAAAACTTCCAAACTTTCTCAAAAAGAAAAATCTGCACTGCTGTACTTTAACAGGATCTCTCCGCTAAACTGCCAGTGCACAGCCCCAGCCTTGCTGAAAATGTTTCGTCACCGGCTCCGAAAATTTCGCTTCTTGGGCCTATTGGACCACAATGGCTGGCGGCGCCAGCGACAAAATAGAAAAGTGTGCCACTGGCGATTCGGCAAAGCAGAGCTTGGCATTCAGTGGAGTGCCTCCAGGCTGGGGTGTACTGGTGGTTGAAGTACTGCACTCTTCTGCGTCTATGAAAACAGCAAAAAAAAGAAAAAAACACATTGTTGTGGTGCGGCGCACGGGCAGGTTCCGCGTGTTGCGCAGCGCAGCGCACTGCACACCTCTGTAACTTGTGTGGTTGCAAGTACGTAGAAGGGTTGTTTGTGCAATGCTTATTTTTTTACTGCTATTTCTTTTTCAATTGGAATTGGAACTCAGGTCTGTATTTCAAAAGTTCAGCCAACTCTGTCGCTCTGTCTGTTCATATCTCTCTCACACGCAGGATTGCGCAAAGTGCTGAGGAGGTCATTTTGGATCTCAAGCAGAAAGCACTTTCCCTTCGAGGCTCTACTACCTGCCGCACGACAGGATTCCACAGGGCTCTAAGACCTTTCCTAAATGCTGTTCATGAAGCACATGATTATGCCTTGGTGCTGATTCCACAGGCCAGAAGGCCAGTGCAAATGTACATGACTGTAGGAGGTCCTCATCGCGGGGAGTGGGTTGCTTCACACGGCTCAATCACCCTTTCAGTGTCACAAATAGAACAGCATCTGGGGTTTGTGGTAACACTTACCTTTATGCAAAGGATGGCACTCTGCGCCATCAGGTGGTTGGTATCCCTATAGGCACTAACGCCAGACCAGAAATATCCAATCCCACACTCTATTGAGATGAAGTGCAGTTCATGGACAACTTTTTCACCAAGATCTGCGTGTAGCTCAAGCATACACATTCATATATCAGTTCAATGATGACCTCCTATCTTGGAAGACATATCTGCCCCCTCCTGCTTGGTAGGGTCTGGACTCTTGAGTGGAAAGACACTAAGAGCAAGATGGGTCGTGTCTCTTCCTCGGGGCAACAACCTTGGTTCGGCCAGACGGGTCACTTCGCATCCGTGTGTTTTTGAGAAGGCTGAGGCTAGGACATTCCCGTTGTACGCTATCCCAGTGCTTCCTCAAATGCCTCAGCTCATCAGCCAGCAGGTGTGCTCACAGGACAGTTGACTAAGTTCGAGCTCATCTGTAACAAAGCTGCAGTGACCTCCCTGACACAGTGTATGCTTGTCAGGCACTATCCTCACAGTGTCCTGGCTAGACGTTGGACTGCATATATGTGTGACTGGAAGCGTCGGCGACCCGGTCATGTCACCCGACTTTTGAACTAGTTTTACTAGCATCAGCCGTCCACACAGCCACATGCAGCGGACCGCCACCCACTCCCGAACACCGGTTCTGTATGCAGGCAGCATCAGCCCTCCACGCAGGCAAATGCAGCAGGCCGGCCCTCTCCTGTTGTTCCTACGGGAATGACAGATGCTAATATGGACAACTCAGCCGGAAGCCGGGCCAGCCAGAACAGACAACATAAACATTGTCAAAGTGGCTGCAGGCGATGATGGCCAGCATCCTATGAATGCGGCTGCTGCTGGAAGTGTGCCTTCTCCTCCTCTTCCTCCTCCTCCTGCACCACCACCACCATCATCACCACCGTCATCGCCATGACCACCATGACCACCATGACCACCATGACCACCCTCACAACCCCCACCTACATCTTCTACTACATCATCCCCTCCGTCATCTCCTCCTCCTCCCCCTCGCATGCCTCCCCTTCATCGTCATACATGTTCATGGTTAGATCAAGCGTCACAGACTCCTCATCAGCGGAGGCATTCATTGTCAGGGCGGCCGTCACAGAGGCCTCTTCAGTGGAGACGTTCCCCATCACCGCTGCCTCGTAGACAGCGACCTTGTTTGTACTTGAACAACGTGATCATCGCGGCCCCGGCGGGGGCGAGAGATCTACTTCAAAGCCATGTTTGCAAGTGTATGGAACGATTTCGTCACCCCCAATACACACAAGCCAGGGATGGTGCATGCCAAGTCCAATTCCCACAATCTGGCGATGATTTTTATAGCGCTGCCGCCGCTGCAGGTCTGAATGTGCTCCAGACAAGAGGTGCAGCCACCTGTGCAGCATTTGCAAGACTAGCAGCAACTCTGAGCACAAGTGCAGCTGATCAGCTTGCATCTGACCCACCCACTTCTCATCCACCTCGCCCTGATTGCCCCCGCACCCCAACTGACAATGATTCGCCTTCAGGTCATTTGATGGAGCGCCCACTTGGAGATGATATACACCTGGGAGGAGTGCATGTTAAAGCCAATGGAGTTAATGCAGCCGGAGGAACCTGACAGACACAGTCAAGACCGTAATTAAACCCCCCGTACCGTGCAATCTACAGAGTCAAATGATCTCATAGTGCTACAGTGAGGCTACTACAGGTACTATGCCATTAATATATGTCTCCTCACTTACAAATCTTAACCCCTATATTATTTGAATTTATTTCTGATTTTGCGGACATCGACCGCTGGATAGACGAAGATCACCGTGCTGTCCGCCCAAAGGACAACAGAACTGCACCTCATGTGAACATAGGAGTCCTGTCATAGGCATTTACGAGAAAACGACTTGCAACTCCATCCCACTCCATCGAACTATATGCCAGACATGGGCGCAAATATGTGTGCGTATGTCCTGCATCATCCAGGTCATTTCAGTGCTGTTACCTTTACGGATAATTCATGGACCCTATGGAACAATGGCGGCAAGGTGCAGACGGTGGTAAACATTGACTATTTTCTTTCACCGAGTGGCAGAATCCCACTCGCTATGGCTGGTCAACCAGGAACAGTACGGAATGTGGACTAGCAAGAGCTACAGCCTCTGGAGAGCAATCCGGCTGAACCTCCCGCGTACATGGCCAGGCAGCATCCCTTTCCTGTATAGATCGGTTCAATTCTCTTACAGATACTGAAGGGGGCCTCACCACAGGATGGTGCCTGTGCCATGCGGTCGTGCCTCCACACAGCAACAGTTTGGCTAGCATGAACGTGGCATAATCCTTTGCCGTGAAAATTGCCACCCATTGTCTCACACTCATCCCCCCCACCCCTTATTACTTGGCCGATATGCCGTTGTGGCCTTGACATGTCATGCCTGAATAGCTGCAAACATCAGCCTGCCTTCTGGCATGTCATCAACATGTGATTTGTCGTCAATGTTTCAAGGAAGCTGTCAGCGTGGACTATCCCCAATGCCATCACCCCCCCCCTCCCCAATCCTCTTCCAGCATGTCCCACATGCAGCGTTGGGCATACACCTGCTGTAACTGCAGTCGGATGTCTTTCATCCTTGCCAGACCAACAACAGATGCAGCAGCCTGAGGAGGAAGATGGACTCTCACATGAACCACCTACAGACCGCTGTACTGAAAGGTTATCACCACCGGGGCAATCTGTTGCAGACCAAATCTTGCAACAGCTAAACACCATTACTTTGGATCAGCCCTGGTCGTTGCCTGCCGATAGAGAAGCAATGTGCACAATGGGAATGAATCTTCTGATGGACAGTGATGCGAGGTGGGCTGGAACGCTGCCGTCTTCACCCGAAAATAACGCCCGGGCGTTATATTCAACTTACCCTAAAAAGATCAGATTTTCGTTTTTAGTACTTTTTACGCTCTTTTTCTCAAATAGAACGCCCCTTCGAATATAACGCTCGGGTGTTGTATTTGAATGTTCCATGGGCAGAGTGCCTTGTAGACGTAGTATACATGGGTTTGAAAGGACAAGGAGGGGGATATACATGTGTTTTAAAGGGGGTTGAAAGGGGTTTTAGGGGCATATTTTAGTTTGGATTTTTGTTTCTATTTTTTATTTCCGATTTTATAAGGAATTCTGTAGTGACCCTCAGCCAATCAGCCAAAAGATGGTCGCATTGCAATTCTGGACAGCATATTTTGTTTACAGAATTTTGTGAAGTTTTTTTTTTTCGGAATTTTGGGGCCCCACCGAAGTTGCCACCAATTTACTGAATATAACGCCCGGGCGTTATGAACGAATACAACGCCCACCGGGCATTATATTCGTATACAATGCCCAGGCGTTATTTTCGGGTGAAGACGGTAGCGCTTTGCGGCCTGCGGACAGCAAGGCTCGTCCGTCAGGATCCACGGGAAGTCT